AGGATTTTGTAATCTCAGGGTGTCAAGCCTTCTGGTAGGAGATGGAAGGAAAGAAGGATGAACTACTTAAAACAAATAGTCGCTCAAGGGTGGCTGAGGCTGCAAATATAATTCAGGAGGTATAGGATCTGGACAAGCTCAGACACGGTCAAGAATAAATGGATATATATATATATATAATGTATAAATACTCCAAGGTTGTCGTCATACTGAGAAGATTTTGCTGAAACCAAATCTTGTCACTATAGACACAGATAAGGATAAATCAGCATTCACCTCCAGCAGACAGATGGGTCCATGAAAAATGAATCAAAAGTTAGCATGGGTATGTTTACACAGCACAAAGGATTTTGAAAATAATACAAGAGGATAGTGCACATACCAGGCAACTACGTCATGCATGCCCATGGCGATAACAGCTGCTCCCAGAGCACTTATATGGGCAGCAGAACAGGCAGTCACACCCATGGTGATCATATCAGACTCCGTGAACATACTTCAGACAATTGTAACAGGCAGTCTATGCTCTGAATGGGTAGACAGCAAATTTATGTTATGAAGTGACACTTAACTTCCCTCACCTGAATCTACTCACCTGGGTATTTCAGCAAAAGGGAATCGAGCTAACCAGATGAAAATGTTGCACCACTGCATGGGAGAAGATGCATTGACAAAGCTATATGGATCATTGAGAATAGTAACACATCTCTGACAACATGATTGTGTGAACCCGGTGAAGCCTAGTGGAGCACATCAGTGCCATTTGTGAAGTCACGATAGGAGACATTATAATCTTCACTTGGAAACAGTCGCTAAAGCTACATTGGAATTGCTGCTACATTAAAGGACTGGCAACACATGGGAATGCTCAGTGTGCATGATAGCAACTGTGAAAGAAAACTGTTTTTTGTTTGTTTTGTGAACTGTTGCACTGGAGCAATAAAGGGCAATAAGAAACGCTAGTCTTTTTTGTTACGTACACCTAAATAGGCCTGGCCATGCTTGTAATTTGTCTTAACTATTCCACCATGTCTTACAGAGGAAACATCTGAGAATGGGATGATGGTAGAAGCAGACAGAGAATAAGCTAAAAAACGGGGTTACAGAAAAATCCTGAAAAGATTTAGCTTTGTGAGAAACAGTTACACTGTAAAAGACAGACTAGACACCAGTTATCAGGATAAAACTCGGAAATAATTCTTGAACTTCTTTGACAACACTCTGACTATAGTAAATGAACCACTGTTTACAGATGGTTATGATGTTTGTAAAAAAAAATGAAGTGAGAAAAGTCAGTGTTAGATTACTGTGGGAAGTGGAACAGTTCTTTGAACTTTAGGCTTTGGCTCTTTTTGGTCCTATAAGGTTATGTCATAGTTTTTCTAAAAAATATTACCATGAAAACATTGACCAGTTACTGTGTTGTATGAATAAAAACTGAGTAAAAGATACCCCTGTGGTTGCCAGATTTTGGTATAGACTGACCAAAATGTAAATATGACACTTGATGTTATGTTGAGACATGTGAGGAATAATCAGTATCACATCATGCATTGTTTGGGACTGAAAGATTTAAGGCTAATAAATCTATAACTTTCTGAATTGCTGTTAATGTAAATATCATGTACATTTGTAACCCGTTTGAACTCCAGCTGGCTTGCCTTGTAGTGCTAAGCATTCCTTATTAATCCTGTCTTCTCTGAATGTAAAACTCCAGTAGGCATTCATTTGCATCAAGTTTTAGTCATATAAGGTGTATATGTATGTATTAACTTTTGTTTTAGAAACCTGTACCAAAAATATAACAAACAATACTGGATAACTTGAATTTTCTGGAATTTGTCAGAAAATGGCGAACCATTCCCAGTTTGTTGTGTGGCCTAGAATACAGCGGCTTAAAACCCAATCTGTTGTGTTAAACACAGTACTAGATTTAGAAACCTAGTAATGACAATTACAGCAATACTACTGGTGTGTGCTCTTAACTTGACCCTTGTGTTCTCAACAGTTCTAGATATCTCAAATTGTGTTTTGGTAATTACTGTGTGCTTGAGTGCTCATTGAAAACTTCTTATTTCTTGTTTATGTAGACAGCAGACCAGGCATCTGGCAAAGCTGAAGATTATGACAACCAGCAAGGTCAGTCTGTGCTGCCCAGTAATTTGGAAATTTTTCGCCGCATCAATGCATTACTAGACAGCTCATTGGATGTTGCCACAACACAGCACCAGCAGTCACAGCAGCAGTCTCAACAGCAGTCGCAACAGTCTCAGCAACAGCAACTGCAGCAACAGCAACTGCAGCAGCAGCAACAGCAGATTCAACAGCAACAGCAACAGCAGCAGCTACAACAGCACCAGCAACTACAGCAACAGCAGCAGTTACAGCAGTTGCAACAGCAGCAACAGCTTCAGCAACAGTTACAGCAGCTTGCTAAAGGTAAGCTGTATTTTTTTTAAAAACTAATTACTGGTGAGTCCCAGGGGGTTTAGCATCAGAGGCTAAGGGGTAGTCAAAAGAGATGTAAAGTCAGCGCATCTTGCGTTTATTGGGCCTCTAGGTGGGAACCTATGAACATATGATGCGTTCCTTGGGACTCAAAGAGTTAATAAAACTTGCTATCTGTTTCTGCCCTTGCTGTCTGTTTCTGCCCTTCATCTGCTAATGGAGCATATGCTGTCAACCAACTTCATATTTAGAGATTCAGATATAAGAAGTGAGCTTAAAATAAAACATTTATAAAACAAACAGCCATTACTGCCAGTATGTGCCACTTTATAGGGAGCTAAAGGACTGTTTCTTGAGACTGAGGATTTAAGTTCACATGATTCAGTCACAGCCAGTTTAAAAGGTTATTTTTGCCCCTGACCGAAAGAAAACAGATTCCCAGTACCTTACTGATGATTCTAACCAGTGTGTCCCACATGAGAGCTCACACTGTCTTTTGCCAACCTCTGCTCAAACTTTTGTTAAAACACATAAATATCAGTATTTGTAACAGGTCAATGTGGGCAGAACTAGAGCTGAGAAAGTTTAGCAGCAATGAACATTATTATAGGCTTTACTAAAGTGTGAAGCCGGAAGGGACATTACACTAAGTTAAACTGTTTATTAAAATGACAGAAATTGACATCAGTATAGGATGAACCAAACTATTTAACAGGAATGATCACTAGTTTAGATAAACATTGTTTATCGAGAATAGTTTTGTAGACTGAACTGATAAGCAGCAATGAGCATTAGTATTGACATCGTATTTACCGAACTGGTTGAAATGTAAGGTTTACCAAAATATAACTAAAGACAGCAAAAGGTATAAAAAAGCAAATCATCTAGATTATTTAAGCAAATGAAACCTAAAGCATGAGACTGACCACAGTGGGAGAGTGCAGAAATATCAAGATAGTTTAGTTACCTTGAATGACAAACATGCTTCAGGCTCATATTTTACACTTTCAGAATTACTTGGCATATATAAATCAGTGCCCTGGTAAAGTAAACTTAAAATAAATCTATAACCTGCGAAAATGTAATCTGATTCTTACATAAGGACATGACTTCAGTCACTGTGCAAGGTGCTCATGTTGTTTAGAAAATGGTGGGATTAAAGTGGATTCAATCCTGGACACATCAGACTTTGATTTCTGTGATGGTCGGTTGAGAAAAAGACCATTATTATGACTTTCAGTTACAGAGACTCCATGAAATAGGCTGGGATCTTAACTGTGTAATATTCCCAAAGACAGCGCTGGCTGCAATGCAGCAAACCTCCCCTGGGGAGACAGTACAACATGTTTAATGGATTCATCCATGTATAGGGATAGTCCTTGACTAGTAAACTTCATCAGTAATACTGGAATGTCTGTACACATGTAAAGCTACTAGCATTATTTGTAGTTTTCTCATCAGAAAAATCTAATCATCATCATCAGATTTCACTTTTGCCATTAGGTGTCATGAGGAGAAACAGTTTGCAATCCTTTGCTTGATGGATATCAATGGCTGTTTATACTCCACATTGATGCAGAAGGTCTTTAATGTCACCAGTCCATGTTCTCCTAAGGTGACCTCTGGCTTCTACACTGAGATCTTTTCTTGGTAGTACCTGAGTTTACCATCATTCTGGATGCATTCTTACAAGATGACCAAATCATTTGATCTTCTATTTCTCAATGAATTTAGTGCATGTTGTTTATCCTAGTCTTTTCAGGCTTCTTGCCGGTGCTACAGAGTTCATGCACTGTGCTGAGATTCTTCGGACTCGGGCTTGAGTCAGAAGTAGAACTGAGCACTTATGGGTTACTACCCTTGTGCCTTGATGTTGATCCGTCATCTAAACCTATTCCTCACTTTGTTGCGGAGGGTCAAGTTGGCACTATCCTGAGGCATCTCATTTCTTATGTGTTAATTTTACAAATGCTAACCTTTGATAATGTCCAAGTCTGGCACTGGTAGCACAGTGTTGGTATGAGTGCTGTTTGTAATGTTTCTTGGCAGTCATACTTATGTTTGGATGTCTTAATAATGGCATCAGTTGTTTTATAAGCGCACTGGCTTATTATCTTCTATTTTCCAACCTTTTCTCTTCCAAGAATATACTTCCTAGATGTTTAAATCCATCAGCTTGCTTCAGACAAGTACCATTCACCACTATATGCAGCAGACTAGGAATTCTAGTGACATACTGCCGTTGTAGTTGTATTGACTTTTATCTGATATCCAGTGGAAATGGGGATTGGTTTCTGAGACCCTAGACAACTGACAACACAACAGGAGTAGTCCTTCAAGAAACAGATGAAAACTATAAACTGTTTTTGGAAAGTAGATACAGACAGATATTTTAGGTATATTAGAGCTAGTGTTTGTGAAATGAAAGACTGCACACACTTATCAGTTGACACGGGCCATTATGATGACCCTCAGCATTGATATTCAGAGGTGCCTTATATCTGTTTGTCGCACTAGTTGGTGACACTCTTATGACATTATTTGTTTGTTAGTTGACCCAGGCTGCCATACATATTGCCCTCACCCGACACCAGAGCTGCAGTCAGTGTTGAGCTATGCTAATGTGCCACTGTCACAGTCGGCAGCGTTTTCCTATTGCAACAATAGCTACTACAGTGTGGGTGCCACCCCAGCTCCTTCACCAGTGACATCCAAGCCAGCAGCAACAGCAGTTACTCAGGCAAACAACTCTTCTTATGGTGAGTATTTGTGGCAGCATCAATCCATTTGTATAACAAGTGTTAGCTATCACCCACCTTCCGTTGGGTTGTTCACCAGTTAATCAAACACAGCTTCAATAGGTAGGAGCTGAACAAAAGCGTGTAAGCTTCCTCTCTGGTCTTGCACTTAATCCACTGTGGACCATTAACTGGGATATCATCTCAAGGATTCTTAGGTTTCCCTAAAGCTTAGTTGTCAGGTCTACTGGACCTGGCCACATGCTGCTTGTTAAGCTTCAATAGGTAGGAGCTGCACAAAATCTGAATCACAGGCTGTGCAAACAATTGCACTACAAAATACTACTTGTTTGTTGAGTTTTAATGAGATGGCAAGAATGGCTCTCATCCAGTGCACTTATTGTACTGGCTCTCATCCAATGCATTTATTGTACTGGCTCATCCAATACACTTATTGTACTGGCTCTCATCCAATGCACTTATTGTACTAGCTCTCATCCAGTGCACTTATTGTACTGGCTCATCCATACACTTTTGTGTACTGTCATCCAATGCACTTATTGTACTGTCTGTCATCCAATGCACTTATTGTACTGGCTCATCCAATGCACTTATTGTACTGGCTCATCCAATGCACTTATTGTACTGGCTCATCCAAAGCAGTTATTGTAGACTTTTTTTTAGAGCAAGTTGTTCTTGTTAGTCAAACTTGGTAATTGCTATGGATTGTGATTCCAGTGCCTACATATACACAGCGTAAAACTGAAAGACACCTGAAATTGCCAAATCTTGCAATTAGTTACGTGAAATTATTTCAGACTGTGGCATTAAAAAAGAAATACAAGTTTTTCATCAGAAAAAAAAATGTGATAGTCAGCACAAGTAGCCTTGATCCTGCCTTCGAACAATTATGTGGTCGATTAACCTGCATGCTAATAGGAAAAAGAGAAAAGAAAACAAAAGTTAATTGAACTAAAATGTCTACGGAAAAATTGTAAATGACAGGATTACAAACATCAGTAAGTGGGGTTGGTAAAACTGTTGTATTATCTCTCACTGATTAGTCAGTCAATCAGTTATGTCAGTCAGTCATCATTCAGTCATGCCTGTTTCACTGAAGTTTGGCTGTAGTGGGTCTACATTGCTGACACTCATACTGGGTGTAGATTCTTTGATGGCTGAAAGTCTATTTCTTAATGTTTTCCTATTACCTGCCTCTTGCTTACTTTTGTTTTTTTCCTCTAGAATTGTTTTATCTTTAATGTCTGTATAACAGATCAGCATAACAGATTATTTGGTCATGAAGCATAATTACCACAAGATATTACTACACAAAGAGCTCTGTCGCTTAGACAGTAGAAATGAGAGCCTGCCCATGTAAGTTGATTCAGTGTGTGAGGTTCACATTGTATGACGTGCACATCAAATCTCTGAAGTAGTGGAAATATAATGTATGAAGCACACATCTCTTGAGGTTTTTGGAATGCCAACATGAATGAAACTGCACATGTCTGAAACTGTGGGAATAGCAACATGTATGAAACACACCACATCTCAGAGGCTGTGGGAATAGCAACATGTATGAAACCTCAGATGGCTGAAACTGTGGGAATAGCAACATGTATGCAACACACATCTCAGAGGCTGTGGAAATAGCAACATGTATGAAACACATCACATCTCGGAGGCTGTGGAAATAGCAACATGTATGAAACACATCACATCTCAGAGGCTGTGGGAATAGCAACATGTATGAAACATACCATATCTCAGAGGCTGTGGGAATAGCAACATGTTTGAAACCTCAGATGGCTGAAACTGTGGGAATAGCACGTATGAAACACATCACATCTCAGAGGCTGTGGGAATAGCAACAAGTATGAAAGCTCAGATGGCTGAAACTGTGGGAATAGCAACATGTATGCAACACACATCTCAGAGGCTGTGGAAATAGCAACATGTATGAAACACATCACATCTCGGAGGCTGTGGAAATAGCAACATGTATGAAACACATCACATCTCAGAGGCTGTGGGAATAGCAACATGTATGAAACACACCATATCTCAGAGGCTGTGGGAATAGCAACATGTTTGAAACCTCAGATGGCTGAAACTGTGGGAATAGCACGTATGAAACACATCACATCTCAGAGGCTGTGGGAATAGCAACAAGTATGAAAGCTCAGATGGCTGAAACTGTGGGAATAGCAACATGTATGAAACCTCAGGTGGCTGAAACTGTGGGAATAGCATGTATGAAACACATCACATCTCAGAGGCTGTGGGAATAACCTGTATGAAACCTTAGATGGCTGAAAATGTGGAAATAGCGTTATGTATGAAACACACCACATTTCAGAGGCTGTGGGAATAGCAACATGTAGGAAACACACCACATCTCAGAAGCTGTGGGAATAGCAACATGTATGGAACACACCACATCTCCGAGGCTGTGGGAATAGCAACATGTATGAAACACCACATCTCAATCGTTGTGGGAATAGCAACATGTATGAAACACACCACATCTCAGAGGCTGTGGGAATAGCAACATGTATGAAACACACCACATCTTAGAAGCTGTGGGAATAGCAACATGTATGGAACACACCACATCTCCGAGGCTGTGGGAATAGCAACATGTATGAAACACACATCTCAGAGGCTGTGGGAATAGCAACATATATGAAACACACCACATCTCAGAGGCTGTAGGAATACCACAAGGTTTGAAACACAGCAGATCTTTCTACAGATATCTCTTCTTCATATGATTCTGAAAGGCAAACATTAATATGATACATGTTTTTTTTTTTTTTAATTTAAAAAAAAATTGTTTTGATCTGGATATTTTGGTGGTGTGGCTAGTATTTAATATTTCAGAATTTAGGGAAGCAAGAAAAACTTTAACATGTCTAATGTTCTTCACTGTAATGTCTTGTTACCTATTATTTCTCAGGGAACTTTCAGCTGTTTGGAGACAGTGCATTTGATAGTTCTGCTGCCTTCTCCAATATGAGAAATTCGGCCACTAATACAACTCCACAGAGAACTTCTAGAACACCCAGCAAGTAAGCTCCTTTATGGCACATGCCATCAGTTTTAATAAAAATGCTTCAGCTTTCCAAGCTTTGAGGTTCCTTGCTGCAGGTATCACTATTCTCCATTTATTTCTTTGACTGACTTTCTTTCCAGCTGGTGACTCTGAGCGTTTAGTTTGCTTGCGTATTATCTCTCAACTGTCCTCTTGGTCTGCCTGGTGGTCTACTTCAACTTTGTTGTGTAAAATTTTTATTTCTAACATTCTTCTTTGTGTGTCCCAACTACTGTAGTCTATTAGCCCCCATTATGCCAGTAATATTGAATGGTGATTTCAACATGAGTTTCATTGTTGCCTATAACTCTGTATTATTTCTTGTTTTCATCTTTCATGGATTAAAGATTTGCTGCAAGAAGCAAGAGAAGGGAGATTGTAAAAGGCTTTTTTTTTTTTTAGTTGAACCGAGATCTCCATATAAAAATTGATCTTATCTGTGTTTTTATAAATTGTGATCACAGTATTAAAGATAGAACATTATTTCATCAAAAGTTGGATATAATATACCTTATTTCCAGATATTTTTGATTTTTAGTACAATGGAGCAGTTTAAGTGTAAGCCCAAGTACTTACAGGTTTGTTTTTGTAATATACGAGGCTCATACATATGTGCTCATACATATGCTTTGTAACATGTTTTACAAAGGTGGGGGTGTCAGCTCCAAATTTCAACTCCCTCCCCTCCCCCCACTGACCTGGAGGACCAGGCGGTCTCTCTTTGTCTGTTATCTACCTTTTGACCTGTCTGCCTGTCTGTATATCATGCAAAATTCAGGGACTTGTATTGGTTGCTCCGATGCTGTAAGAATTGTCTTAGGGCAAAAAAAAGTAAAGGCATGAGTAATCCTGTCACTGCAAATGTCAGTATACATTCTGACTTCTTACAGGAGGAGACTGAGCCTTTGTGTCCTAGGTGCTGTAACATTTAAGCTTCATAAGTTTTTGTAAAATGGTGACAATTTATATAGAAACTACTGTTGTATTGGTAAATCATTTAAATATTACAATGAATATTTGCAGTTGATAGTTCTGCAAATATAACTGAACTTTAGCAAATTATACATTTTTGTGAATAAACAAAACTTGTCATTACGCAGGCCAAAGGTCAGTAACCTAAGTTGCCGTATCACTCAGCATGCCAGCCTGTCCACCCCAAACATGTATACATCAATTATTGTAACAATTTGACATCTTATAACAATTAATTTGTTAAAAATGAGATTATATGATGTACTTAAATACACTCAGCAGGGCATTACAAATCGTTCCAAATGAAATGCCTAGCTTGCATGTTGTACAGATCTATCATTTTGCCAGTCAATATAATGCACACATATAATCAGACTGGTAACACTGGTATTAGAACTCTTCGCTGGCTGCTAAAGATGAGGGAGCACTTACAGTAATGCTCTGAGTGCTGTGATATGGACTCTCAGCTCAGCTGAACTGAGTTTTCATTGGTTGAGAGTAGATATTGTCTATAGCCATGAGTTAACTAGTGCTTCTGTTTGTTTCAGCACTGATTTCTTTTCCACGTACAGTCCAATCAGTGATGTTTCCTTATCACCAACCGAGAAGATTCTCTATCAGAATCTGTTGTCAAAGCACAATCAACCGTAAGTACAATACCTGTCAAAAGCATGGAACTACAGAATACACTGTCTGTTAGAACATTTACAGATGGCTTTTGGGATTCAAATTAGAAAATAAAGTTGAAGAAATACATTTGAATTACAAAACGGACAGAAAGAGTTGGGCTAGAAACCTGTTTATTTTCTCAAACAAAGAACATGACTTAAATACGGAAGAGACAAAGAAAGAACTCAAGGAACAGCAAAGGGATAGGACAGCGAAAATGTGGGGGTCTTATACTGTGTTAGAAGCAGAAAGATAGATGAAATATTTTCTTTAAATTGGTCAACATTTTTAGTAGCGCTGTCATTTTTGAAAGCTGAAAATGTCCAGATATTAGAGTTGTATAAGTGGTCTTGCTTGTAGCAGGCATAGCAATCATAGGTACTCAGTGAGGTTGTAAATAAAAGGTGACTGATAACGATGCAAGCTCAGAAAGTTCTTGGACAACAGTGGACCTGGCTTTCCAGTTTGTCTTGTACTTTGCCAGTTTTAGAACATACCTTGTTATTATTGTACTCCTTGGACATAATGCAGACTTCTGGGGCTAAGTCAGGAATGTATTCATGGAAAGAACTTTAGCAGGTGATACACAACTGGGTGTGAACTGAGAGCATGCTGTAAGGGAAACAGAAAAAAGTGTGGAGGAGTCTGCTTTAGAAGACTGAATCACACAACAGTCTTGTTGGGATGAGACTTGTGTCACCATCAAAGTTAACAGCTTTTTGCCTTACCGATTAATAAATTGTAAAGATTTAGCTTTGTAAATATGTTGGGATTGACTATGTTAGCACTGTGGGCATGACAGCACTGGAAATCTGACAGCACTGTAAATGTGTCGGCACTGAAAATGTCAGCACTGAAAATGTCAGCACTGAAAATGTCGGCACTGAAGATGTGTCGGCACTGAAGATGTGTCGGCACTGAAGTTTCAGCACTGTAAACATAACAGCAACTAAATAATTTTAACATTGTAAATTTTTTTCCATTGAATATATTTGCATACTGAGATTGGATGATTTTTGCCTACAGTGAAAGTACAACTCTGCCAATGAGCCCACACAGTGATGTTTCCTTGTCTCCGATTGAGAAAAAGCTCTACTCAAATTTACTCACAAAACACACACAGACCATGAGAGCTATTCAAGCCCCACCCACCCCACCGAGGTCACCACAAGAGTTCCTGCATGGTGGCAACACACAAGCCTGCGATGAATCGTCAATAATTGAGAATATGGTAACAGTTTAGGCTAGAAATTGATATTATTTGTAATGTTTTCTTGTTGTTTGTAACTGACATTCTGGGCTAGAAATTGACATTATTTGTAACTTTTTCAGTTGGCACAAATTCCTTAGCTAAATGTACAGGAAATTAAAGATGGGAACACAGAACTTTGTTTATGTAGACATGCATGACAGGTAGGCTGAATATGTACTGCAGATATGTGCTCTGCGTGCATTAGGAAGATGCCAGGTCTGACCAGTTACTTTTTCCACTATGAACCAGTGAACATGGGTCACACCACAGCCCTCTTTGAGGCCCATGGTTTTCTCAGCTGGGAAAAAAAAAACACCCAAAAAAACAAAAGAAAATATGGCTGTTATAAAATAGTACACCATGGTATTTCGATCTGTCATGCTGTTCACCATTTATGCCTGTTGAGAAAAGTGATGGGAAGATATTTTGTATCCCTTGAAATTAAAAGATTCATACAGCAACTAACAAGTGTTGTAGGAATTGTCAACTGTGTGGTTTGTGGTTAGCCAGACATGGCTCGCGGGGGCCTAGCTAGTGGTCCACAAGTCATTGCCAGTTGGATTGTTCTAACGATCTTTCTATACTGAGGCTCGAACCTGTGGCTTATGAAGATCCCTGTTTTGAACATTTTAGCCCCTGAGTAAACTTATTGCCTTATCCTGCCAGCTTGCTTCTTGGTTCTCCTTTTCTTTTGAATCCACATTTCTCCCCATTTTGAAGGTATATTTTGAGTTGTTTGGGTTGTTTTTGTGCTGTTGTTCAATCACATTTCACTGCATTCAGTTTTATCCAACACGGCTTGATCCCTGTCTTTGCTGAGCAGCTGACTGCTGGTGTGCCAGTATCATCACACCAAACTTCTATAGCTTCAGCAGTACCTAGGCGTTCAGCCAACAGTTGCACTTGTGAATTAGTCTGACGGTGATTAAAACCTTCAGATTGTAAGATAAAACAGCTGGACCACTTTCCCCACTGAGAGCCCCAGTTGAGTGGCAGAACCATGGTATCCAGAAAGCAGGCAGAGATATCTGCTTAGCACAGGCACTCCTGTTGTATCAATAAAACATTTGTTTTTTGCAGACTAACCTGAGTCTGGGCTCGGCTCAGCAGAATTACATTGATTCTGGCAGTGTCTATGGCAGAAGTGCTCTGGATGCTCAGTCTTCCAGCATTCGCAGGTGAGCAAGCAGAGTTTATAACACAGAAATTGTTCAAGCGTACCATTATTTTATCAGCTAATTGGTGCTGTCTTTGTTAGTAGAAGATAGTAGTATCATTTCTGTACATCCTAAAGTAATGTTTCTGACTTGTATTGTACATTAAAACACTTTAAAAAAAAAATCACCATTACTTCCATCTTCCCACTTCAGAATATAAACAATTAAAAAAAACACCAAAACTTTTGTTTTCAAAATTCAAAAACTAAGAACCAGTCAAAAATTAAGAACTAAGAAAGATGGAAAATGTCTATTTTTGTTTACTTCCACTTTAATTTTTAGTGGTAGTCTTTGATCAGATCCTCAAACTGTTCTTGTGTAAGACACCTGCTTATATACTTTATTATTGAGATAAAGCAGCCAGCCTTCCTTGTTGCATTGTTATTCTGATGGCATTTTAAAAATATACTTGAACTGAGAAAAAAATGCTTAGCTTCAAGGCTATTGAAAATGAATGTGTGCCCCCACTTTTTGTGATACCGTAAGGTTTTTAATGTTGTTAGGGTTAATCCAGCCCTGGAGATGTGCATACTAAATGGTCACAGAACTAGAGCAAATTATTCTCATTTCAAATCATACCAACAGTGAATACAATACTGAAACTATTTTCACTGTTGCCTCTCACAGTGATTTAACCTGGTCACCCGCAGAAGCCACAAAAACCAACACTTCAGGTTGGGTTCAATTTTCTATACAAAAATTCTCTTTACTGACTGTTCTGTGTGTTTGTGAGATGCATATTTAACATGACTGGCTGTGTTTGCACCTGTGTGCAGTATTTTGGTCAGAATATGAACACATTTACTAGAAATGTCATGGGAGTGGGAATTCTTAGAAAAAAGATGTTGCTTTAAAGCCAAGTTAACATTGCAGTTCCCCAGTTCACAGAGATCACAGGGACACAGTATGAGTTGCCCAAGACATATTTGTTTGTTAGGACCCAGGGAATGTATTTTTTAATGCTTGACTCTGTCCCTGTTAGTGATTATTCCCTTTAGATATCTTCACATTAAACAAAAAATGTACACACATTTTCAACAAGTTTATTAATGACCAGAGTAAAATGGTTGTTATTTTGAAGATTTTTGTTTTTTGGGGGGAATTCCTAGAGGTTCAAGACCTATTATTTTTTGTGTTACTGGGGTGACAAGATTAATCTGTTCCTAAAAAAAATGTACTAGTAACATAGTTACAGTTAAGTATACTCAGTGTGAATTACATTTCCACACACTAAAAATAGAAAACAGTAACCAACATTTGGTGTTTCATGTCTTCTCAGGTCGCAGATGTTTCCCGACAGAGTGACCTGGCATGACACATCTTTTGCATCTTCTGGCAGCAGCTTGAACAGCAATAGTTCAGCTTTTATGTCCAGCTTGGATCCATATGCAATTGAAAGGGCTGCCCGCCTACACAAAAATGCAGCAGGTATGTATGACTCAAGACAAACTCTGGTCTTATGTGTCTCTGAGCATTGGTTTAGTCTTTTGCCAAATAAGTGCTAAACATGTTTGAAGAAAACAGTACCAGCCTTGGTTTAATCCCAGAAATCTTAGTCTTGGTCGAGGTTTCAACATCACAGCAGTCGGGTTTCCCTTTACTTGCTCGGTTCCTGTGCCTGTATGAATGTAATGAAATGTCCCTCACTGTCTAATTTGAAAAACTGGTGAACAAACAACTAGTCCTGGAACAACTCCCAAAATGTGCATGCCGTAAATGCATTTTTAGTTGCTAGAAGCACCAAAGCCAACAGTCACCACCAGAAATGCAGCTTGTCCTTGATGGAAGTAGTCAGGCACGATAAGTTGGTTACTGTACACACGTAGAATTATTACATAAGGTATTTCACCATCTCAAACACAAATCAGCTACCGGCCATAAATACCATGATACAACCGCTGCACTAATGAAAGGCATTCAGCAGGAAAAACACAGCTCACAATGTTGTAATCAACCACCAAACTCAGTAGCTCAGGCAGAGAAACTAGACTACCGTCCTTATGTGGAAACTGCATTAGCAAAGCACTGATGGAAGCAAAAATGACTTCGAAGCTTGATGTTCTGTCAAGCTTCTCCTCAATTTTGGAAGTCATAATCTTAGACAATGCATTTTGTGCTGAATGTTGACTTCCTTACAGCCTGATATGCCTTTGTAGATATATTTCAGTGTCAGTCTTGCACATTCTGCTGATTTCTGTGATGAAAGCAAAAGGATCACATGGGTAATCCAAGTCTTCCGTGGTTGGGTGTATGATGTGACAATGGTCTGTGCGATCTGTCGATATCATCTTATTGGGTAGCTTAATGTAGAACAGACCAGTCAGTTTAATGTTAATGCACAATGAAATACATAAAAAACAGCCAGCAGATTTTACATATGTCTTATTAGATGGTTTTTATTCTAATGGTCATAAGAAAACATTGTAATACTAGAAACATTGAGAATGTATTTGGAGTTAACAGGATGAATCTATAGGAATTACTGTTTTAGATTTGGTAACAGAAAGTACTAAATAGAGCAGGGTAAAACCTGCACAAACATTTTAAATCAAGTCTTTATCTTTCAGTGAATACTAAATGCAATACAAAATATGACTAGAAAACTGAATGGACAAGACAACTGTTACAAGCTGTTTTATGTTGATCTTGGTTGTTTATAAGCTATATTGCCTTGTCCACTGAGCTTTCCGGTCAGTTTGCATTGTATATCATACTCCAGGCTGGATATATAAATATATACTGTCTTGTTAGCTGTTGACCTTAACTGAGTGTATAATGTGGTATTCTAAGTGTTAATGTGGAGTTTGTGTAACAAACTTCATCAAGAACAATTGTTGAATCTTTCAGCTGTCAGTGAAGCCAGCTGCACATGGAGTGGGCATCTGCCACCTCGCAATCACAAGAACCCCATTTATTCATGCAAGGTGTTTCTGGGTGGTGTCCCCTGGGATATTACTGAGTGTTAGTATTTCATTTTTTATCTTCGTCAAGTGCTTTGCCATGACAAAAGGTTGTCAAGAATCTTCTCATGCTGTCTTCCTATGTCTCTTTCCACAGATCTTTCCAGTTTCTTTCTCTCTTGTCATTAAAGGAAAAAAATGATTACTCTGATGTTTGTGACAAATTGTATTGCACTCGCCTCTTTCAAAATATCTAGGTTGATCTTTTTAGCTGCTCAAGGAATTCTAAGGATTCTTCCATAAACCACATCCCAAAGGCCTCAAGTTACTGTTCGGCTTTTCTATTAATTGTCTCGGATTCACAGCCCTCTGGCTCTGCGTAATGCTAGAATTATTTTCCTAACCTCCAGTAACATAGATTTATTGCACAAAGTGTTCCTTTTTTAAAACAGTCTTGGCCTGTCTTGTTGTGTTCTTTATTTCTGTGATACATCTTCCATCGGATATTATCCATGTCTAGATACTCACATCCCTGTACTTGTCCTAAAATAACACTTTTGACTTTTAAATTATACGTTTACAAACTTTTCTTTTCTTGGAAATCACCATTTCTTCTGTCTTCACGTTATTTAAACCATTATTAATTTTTTATAAATTTCCTTTATTTGGCTAAATTACATTTTAAATACACAAAAGAATGCTGTTCACAATGATCCTGTCTGTGATATATTTTGGATTTGAAATGCTTACCATATCAGAGTCAGCTGATGAAACTTGAATGCATACAGAATTCTGGGATGTACAAGAGATACCCCGTTAGTATGTATGAGATATATACTTGCTCTGCCTACTATTGATGATAGGCTCAAAGTTCTGTTAGCAAAGTCATCTCAGAGTAGCTGCAGACAAGAAGCACCTCCTGCATGAAGCCCTGGATAGAGCTAAGGATCACAGAGTGAAAAGAGGAAGGTCTTGGATGGTGCCAGCTGAAGACAGTCAGATGTGTGTGTGGGCTTGAAAAATCTGAGCGAGGAGAGAGTGGGTCAGGGTGTCCGAACAAGTTTTTAGACTTGTGTAGAGTTCTTATCACTTTGAGTCATGAGTGCAGGGACTGGTCAGCTGGTGCTACAGAATCAGAAGTTCAACAAATGATTCATTATTCCCGCCCAAGTGATGTGATTATCTCTACACATGGCTCTGTGTTGAGGGGCAGATGAAGTGCATGAGGGGTTCAAAACAGTCGAATGGACATCGCCTAATGAGCAAAGCCTGGAATATATCACAGCCTAGTTTGAGAATGGAGGTTGAGACAGTCACTGCTGCCTTCAGCTCTACCTACATGCTGTGATTGTAACTGACTCGCAGAGCATGTTGAGAAAGGTGGAGATAGGCATGCTGCGTGCAGAGTGACAAGCATCCCTTCAGAGGTCCCGGGTAGTTAGCATCCTTTGGATATTTTCTCCAGGCCATATTGGTGTGTTGGGAAATAAACATGCAGATAGACTGGCTGGTTCTGCACTGCTTGGTGGTGAACTGATGTGTGACAAGCTGGATGTTGTGTTGGTTCTTTGGGAGTGATTGAACAGTGAGGAGGCACGGATAGATCATTATGGTCTGGGGAAAATGGCGCTGCGAGGAGTTACCAGGAGATCTGGCCGACACACAACACTCAAGGGAGAGGCAAGATGGATGTACAATCAGTTACTGGTGCCATCAGAACTGGAACTCTTTGCTTGCTGTTGAAGATGGGGATGAAGCATTTATGGGGGGTGTCCCGAGTGCTGTGATGTCAATTCTTAATTCAACATTTAACATTTTAAATACTGTTTCTTGGTACATCACATTTTATTTCTCCGGTGCATCTAATTTATTTCCTGGGTGCATCTTATATTAAGTGTGTTTCTTTGGTGTTGTCCCTTCCATTTGTTCTTCCATTTACCCCAGAGTGTCAACTCTGGTACCCATTTCCTAGACTCGGTGAACCCTGGAAACTTGCCTAGTTTTGAACACTGACCAACACCAACATATCTTAAGTGTACTGCACACAAGTGCAGGCTGTCTGCAACTTCACATCTGGTGTAATGTATCACATGTAGTTTTCCCGTGTATAATAACAGGCTGTCAAAGTCATCTTTGTCTTCTTTTTTTTTTTAAATGAATTTTTCCAGTTGTTACATTTGTTTCTCTTCCTGTAACCCCCCTTTCCGCACCCTCCACCCTCATGTTTTTATGTGTGTGGGTGTCTTGGCATGTTTTCTTTTTTCTTCAGATTTTACACATTACCTTGTAAAATAAAAGGTGCACCTTAAATGAGTTGACACATTTACATTATGCAGCTTTGCTTATAAGTTTTTGCCCTTCTCTGGCTAGTATGGTTCAAAGTTACATTTTAGTATTTCAGTTGTCAACCTCCTGATTTTAAACACATTTCCTTCACACCTACATTTGTATCCACCTTTATTTTATTCAAGTTATTTATGTATTTTTACACAATTCTTTTGTATCTATTTTTTAGCTGGTTTGCAAGCTGCTTTCAATAAATATGGTCATCTGAAGGTTGAATGGCCTGGGAAAGATGGTAAGCATTAACTTCAGATTGGTATACTTCCAGGTAAAAAGTGTTTATGATAACGGTGATTTAGTAATCTCCCCTGAGTAAAAAACTTGTGCTGTTTTTTTGGACATGGCATGACTGAATGGCAGACTATAATGATGCGATGGAAGCTGAAGGAAGCAATTCACAGGTGTGCTTTAAGTATTCATTTCTCTTTGTAGGTTCAAGGACCTCATTTTGTGGCAACAAGATTAGATCCCCCCAAACATGGTGTACAAGGTTGCTTATCAGGGGCATTTCCTTCAGAGATGAAGTACATCTACCAGAGAGGCAAGGAACCAACAGTCTGCATACAAAAAAAGCCAATCTGCAATAAAGAATGTGCACACACTTTTGGATCAAGACCAATGTGAAGTGGACTTACAACCAGAACTTTCTGATAGCTGGTGAATGTTGAAAGGTATCCATCAAAAGATTTTGCTGACACATGAACGGCACATACATTTTGACACAATACTTGATAAAGCACATTGTTATAGAGGAGCACAGTATGGGCCGATTTGGGAAAACTTTTTACTTTGAGGAAACTTCTTATGCCTAAGCAGGTCAAGATTTTTGAAAGCCCAGATCAATCCTGCAGGTCAACGTTATACATGCAGACTAGCATAACATGTTCTTGATAACTGAATAGTAGTCTGTTAGAAGGTGACTTTACAGAGTTTTCTGTTAATAGTGAATTCACACAGTAGTGTGTTAGATGGTGACTTCATAGAGTAGTCTGTTAGATGGTGACTTCATAGAATAGTTTGATAGATGGTGACTTCATAGAGTAGTCTGTTAGGTGGTGACTTCATAGAGTAGTCAGATGGTGACTTTACAGAGTAGTCTGTTGATAGTGAATTCACAGAGTAGTCTGTTAGGTGGTGACTTCATAGAGTAGTCTGTTAGATGGTGACTTTACAGAGTAGTCTGTTGATAGTGAATTCACAGAGTAGTCTGTTAGGTGGTGACTTCATAGAGTAGTCTGTTAGGTGGTGACTTACATAGAGTAGTCTGTTAGATGGTGACTTCATAGAATAGTTTGATAGGTGGTGACTTCATAGAGTAGTCTGTTAGATGGTGACTTCATAGAGTAGTCTGTTAGATGGTTACTTTACATATTAGTTTGTTAGATGGTGACTTCATAAAGTAGTCTGTTAGGTGGTGACTTCATAGAGTAGTCTGTTAGATGGTTACTTTACATATTAGTTTGTCAGATGGTGACTTCATAGAGTAGTCTGTTAGATGGTGTATTCACTGAATTGTTTGTTGATAGTGGATTCAGAGTAGTCTCTTAGATGGTTACTTGTTTGTTTGTTGATGGTGGATTCACAGAGTAGTCTGTTAAAAGGTGACTTTACAGAGTAGACTGTTTGATGGTAACTTTACACATTAGTCTGTTAGATGGTGACTTTACACAGTAGTCTGTTAGATGGTGACTTTACAGAGTAGTTTGTTAGATGGTGACTTTACACAGTAGTCTTTTAGATGGTGATTTGACACAGTAGTCTGTTAAATGGTGACTTGACACAGTAGTCTGTTTGATGGTGATCTTACACTGTAGTCATTTAAATGGTGACATTACAGAGTAGTCTGTTAGATGGTGACTTTACACAGTAGTCTTTTAGATGGTGACTTTACACAGTAGTCTTTTAGATGGTGACTTTACAGAGTAGTCTGTTAATAGCGAATTCACAGAGTAGTCTGTTAGATGGTGACTTTATAGTGTAGTCTGTTAGATGGTGACTTGACAGAGTAGTCTGTTAATAGTGAATTCACAGAGTAGTCTGTTAGGCGGTGACTTCATAGAGTAGTCTGTTAGATGGTGACTTTACAGAGTAGACTGTTAGATGGTGTATTCACTGAATTGTTTGTTGATGGTGGATTCACAGAGTAGTCTGTTAGATGGTTACTTGTTTGTTTGTTGATGGTGGATTCACAGAGTAGTCTGTTAGATGGTGACTTTACAGAGTAGTCTGTTTGATGGTAACTTTACACAGTAGTCTGTTTGATGGTGAGTTTACACAGTAGTCTGTTAGATGGTGACTTTCCTCTGTACCTACTAAAAGTATACATCTGCATGGAAACTGCATTGGGGCTCCCTCAGCCAGTCGTTTCTGATACAGAATTAGCTCTATGCCATGATGCCAGACACTTTTCTCTTGGTCTCCCCTTCTTCTCTGCTGGTCTCCCCTTCTTCTCTGCTGGTCTCCCCTTCTTCTCTGCTGGTCTCCCCTTCTTCTCTGCTGGTCTCCCCTTCTTCTCTGCTGGTCACCCCTTCTTCTCTGCTGGTCTCCCCTTCTGCTCTGCTGGTCTCCCCTTCTGCTCTGCTGGTCTCCCCTTCTGCTCTGCTGGTCTCCCCTTCTGCTCTGCTGGTCACCCCTTCTGCTCTGCTGGTCTCCCCTTCTGCTCTGCTGGTCTCCCCTTCTGCTCTGCTGGTCTCCCCTTCTGCTCTGCTGGTCTCCCCTTCTGCTCTGCTGGTCTCCCCTTCTGCTCTGCTGGTCTCCCCTTCTGCTCTGCTGGTCTCCCCTTCTGCTCTGCTGGTCTCCCATTTTCTTGTTCTCATAAGTTCACCAGTTTTCTTTTCCTGATCTGCTTTCCTGATCCTGTCTTTACTAAAAAGCATGGATTAACTTCTGAGTATGTAACCAGTTCTGTTTTCAGTTAATTTCCTTCAAGATTTCACTTTTTAATAGGTTCATGTTCTCATCATTCCATACCACATTTGTGCAGCTTTAATATAATTCTTCACTAATCATCTATCATCCATGATTCTCGTCTATTCTTTGACTTGTAAGAACTCTTTTTTGTTTTCCTACCTTAACTGATAGTGAATTCGGTTTGTGTTTGGATTATTTTCCTGTTACTTTAAAACATCTTCCTTAATTATATCCAGGTATCCGAATAGACACATTTAACAATTTCCTTCGAACAGAGTGACAAGCTTCACTGGAAAGGTCACAGGTGGTGTACTTTAGATCTTTTCTCCAGGATATGCCAGTGTGGTGGGTAATGAACAGGAAGACAGACTGGCTGGATCCGCACCACTGGGTGGTGAATTGATACATGACAAATGTGGTCAAGGCTCAAAGGTTGACATTTCAAAATATTTTGAAAGTTGCCCCCCCCCCCCCCCCCCCCCCCTCCCAAATAAAATAATTAATATTCAGAGGTACAAAACTTAGAATTCTGTTGCCTTTGTTATGCAGGTTATGTGTACTTGTTGTTTGATGTGGAGAAATCTGTGAGGTCTCTACTTCAAGCGTGTACTCATGACTTCAGCAATGGTGACTACTTCTACAAGATTTCCTCTAGGAGAATGAGGTCGAAAGAGGTATGTGCCACCGACACCACACCCCACGTTCCACAAACACCTCACTTTACATTCCAGATACACCACGCTTTACACACAACACACTCCACATTCCAGACACAACACACACATTGTTCCACACACAGCACACTCCACATTCCAGATACAAACACACTCCACTGCTGTAGCTACACGCCCTTATAGTACCAGTTATATTGATAATTGTATTGATTTTTTATTTCACATGTATTTCTCTGCTCTCGTCTCCTTGGTGACTTAACCGCACACATCAGAGTCAGCATAACCTAGTAGCACTTTGTTAGGGCAGCAACAAACACCTTAAACTTTGTCTAGAGACAGGTGAATAAGATGGACAGAACACACAGGTGAGCTGCACAGGCTGATTATTGATAGAGTGACTGGTGAGAGGGTGACGGATTGTGCTTCCTTCGGGGACTAGTCCCCTTGATTTTTACCTTCAGAAAATAAGAATCAACTTTACTACACAGTATCACATTACCTTCATGCCTGAGGTCACATAAGTGAGAATTGAGTGCATCTCAGCATAGCACAAACATAATCACTAGTGAGTATATACAGAGCCATACATACAGTACAGGTTTGTTCTCTTCTCTGTGTGCTTTTGATCTGCTTTTAATTCTTGATTCCTGTTGGTTCTAGTGCTGCTTTTAATTATCAGTTCTCTTTATGCCTACTGGCACATGAGGCTTCAGAGAGGACTTTCCATGCTTTCCTGTCCTGTGCAATCTACAGTGCAGTTTTCCATGTCAGAGATGCCACACTCAGGTCACTTTCCAACGTTCGTCTCCATGTTGTTTTTGGGTGCCCCTTCTTCCTCTTTCCCTCTGGTGTCCATGTGAGAGCTGTTTTGGCAGGTATATCAGGATTCATTCTCATAATGTGGCCAAGTCATTTCCATCTTCTCTTGGTTATCATACTGTCTAGAGTTTCTTGGTTTGTGACTTGAAGTAGTTTAGTGTTTGAGATTGTATCTGGCCAGAAAATTTTGATAATTCTACGTAGACATGTGTGGTGGAAGGTGGACAGCTTGTGTGCATCCTTTTTGGTCATTCTCCAGCATTCTTCTCCATAAAGAAGAACTGGCAAAAAAATGCTCCTGAAGAGTCGAAGTTTCATTCCTCTGCAGTAACTGCTGGATTTCCAGATTTGCCTCATCCTTCCAAAAGCAGCTCTAGCTTTTAGTCGTGACTGTATGTCTTACTCTGTCCCTCCCCGTAGGGACCCCACACTACCAAGATATGTGAAATGTCCTACAATTTCAAGTGTTTGGTTATTTATGGTTACTGGTTGTTGGTTTTGGCTACTTTTACTGTAAACCTGTAACATTGGTTTATCTTGAATTTTGCTACAGAAAATGAGCCTTGTGTGTGCATAAGATATATTTAGATGACATTGACAAAGTTTTTCTGTACTTGGACAAAAATGATCACAGGTGCAAGTGATCCCTTGGGTTCTTGCGGACAGCAATTATGTGCTACAGCCATCTCAGCGCCTGGAATCCAACAAAACCGTGTTTGTTGGAGCACTGCATGGCATGATCACTGCTGAAGCTCTGTGCAATATCATGAGTGATCTGTTTGGGAATGTGATCTATGCTGGAATTGACACGGACAAACACAAGTATCCCATTGGTGAGCAGCTATGCTTATGTCAGTTTGCTGTGTTACTGATGAACTGTTTATAAAAGACATTGGTAACGTATGAAAGTTGAAGACATTGGTCTCTGTGGTGAAGTGATTAAGGTGTCAGCCTCATGCTCTTTACATGTGGCTTAGCTTCATTTGTCAGTTTGCTGTGTTACAGATGGACTGTTTATAAAAGACATTGGTAACGTATGAAAGTTTAAGACATTGGTCTCTATGGTGAAGTGGTTAAGGTGTTAGCCTCATGCTCTGAAAGTTGTTGGTTTGGTGTCGGCCTCCATCCTTGTTTATAAATGAGGTTGTTTTGGAGATCCCTGAAGATTGTCCAGTTTGATGTGCTAAATTATCATCTGCTAATATTCTTCTTATGCCACTTTAAGTATGAAAGTCATCTTTGTTGTATAAATAATAAAACATGAATCACAAAAATTGTAACAAAATAGAGGCAGAGTGGAAAATGAGTGCAGTAAAAATATGTAAACATTTGTTGTGGATGTTTACAGTTATGTCTCATTAGATACAGGGACAAGAACTATCTCCTGTTAGACTGTTTTTTCAAATCTGTCATAACAATCACTTAACTGGAGCACTGTTGGTGTCAGATAGGTTTCATAAGAAAGTTGTCAGTTTCATACTCCAAAAAGCAGATATAAAGGTACCTAATTAACTGCTAGATTGGAAGATAAATGCAGAGCTATTAAAAAATACCAGATTGGAAGATAAATGCAGAGCTATTAAAAAATACCAGATTGGAAGATAAATGCAGAGCTATTAAAAAATACCAGACTGATTCTTAGAAGTGAATACATAAACGATAACAAAAATCAGTAAAATTATTATATTAGAATTGTGTTAGAAAAATTATGCAATAATTTAAATCCCATAAGTAATCCTACCATATTATGTTGAATGTGTTGAATATGCTGTGAAGAGTTTTGTTTCATTTGGATGTCAGTTGCGATATTCTTTTAATGGTTTAATTTTTGTGACTGAAAACACTTCAAAATAAATGGCTATAAAAAGCTTACAATACTTTAGGAAGAAGTGGTAGTGTTTGTGAAAAATAAATGTTCTAGTTTGTGCAACATAGTGTGGTCTCTATCTGGGGAGTTTGTGTAAGATAGTGTGGTCTCTATCTGGGGATAAGTGTCTGCAGGTACTTTAGTTGTTGAACAATACAAGAATGAACAGATGTCAGCTTTCAAGTATATTGCAGTATTTGACTGATTCTATTCTGCTAGACAAATCTGCTAAACACAAATTAGTAACTCTAATCTCTCTGTATTCAGGTTCAGGAAGAGTCTCTTTCAGCAGTCGCAAAAGTTATATGAAAGCTGTTCAGGCTGCCTTCGTGGAAATTAAAACTCCAAAGTTCAACAAAAAAGTGAGTGCTTCTGTTGTGTGTTGTATGCTTGGGAAGCATTTATGAAGTAGTTTCACATTTATTTTCTGCAGATGGAGTTTTACATTTTCTTTAACATGTAAAGGGTATTTTTGTTTCGGAGGGGGGAGGGAGGGGAGATAACAAACATGATCTTTGAAATTGTTGGTGAGAATTCAGAGCAGAATTTTAAAAACATTTAGATTGAACAATTTTAGCCATGACCTTTCCCTGATGTCATCTTGTAGTGGTGGAGGATTTTGCATTCAGGGGACATTAAGGCCATCAGCTGAGGTTATATAGGTACTGGCAGGGTTTTTTCAGGCCATCAGTTTACGTGTGGGAGCCAAACACTGGGCAGACTGAGACTACACAGTTGTCCAGCAGGCATAATGGGAGATAGGATGTACACACACACACAAAAAAAAGAGAGAAATCACATATTTCAGACACATAATCTAGATTACATATTTTTAAGTTGTCTTTGAACAATGGTCTGCTCTGTGGCTAAGTCGATGCGAACGCTTCGTAATGCCGGGATGCCAGGTTCGATCCCAGCTGCGGGCCATGCGTCTTACGTTGGTTTCGACAGTGGTATCTAAAAAGCTGCTTGTCCAGAAAGCAATGGCAAACTACTGGATGTAAATTTGCCTAGAAAAAACACAACAGCCAGGCTCTGTTGGGGTTGGTTCTGCAATGCCCTGTAAAGGATAGACAACTAACCTTTGAAAACTGAGTACTTGTAATAAATACAAGGAAGCCAAGTAGCTGACAATAAACATTAGGGTAAATAGAGAGGTATATGAAAATTAGTAACCACGGAAATGAGATGTCTGAGAAGGGCTGTAGGAGTGACCATAAGAGATAAGATCAGGAATGAGATCATAAGAGAAAAAGTTGGCACAGAACCAATTCTAAATTATTTACGAAGACAGCAAGTGAAATGGTTTGCCCACTTAGAGAGAATGCCTTGTGACACCATACCATACAAAGCATACATGGAAAGAGAAGGACGTAGAGCACGAGGTAGACCAAGAACAAGATGGAAGGATAACATTAGAGAAACTACAACAGCACGATGTGCCTGTGGTCGAGGCGGCCAGAAGAGCTAGAAACAGAACCTTTTACCACAGCGTAAAAGAGGAAGTGAAGAAGAAGAGAGGTATATGTTCCTCACATCTGCCATGATAAAGATAAGGTAATAAAGTACTACAATATAAATTTCTCACATCTGTGATAACAGTGTCAGCATTGGAAAGAAAGTCAAGAAAAGCAGCTAAACATAAAATAAAATGCAACAGCATGAAAATACTAACATCTAAAGAAAGTAAATTGGCTTAAAACATTTGAACAAATGCTTGAAGCCAGAGGTAGTGGCCAAAAGGTGCAAATGTCACAGCTTTGCTATAAACAGGCACAGTGCAATTACATTAGTCAGATGAATAAAAAGTACAGTAACTAAGCTGAATCTCCATTATTAAATTATTGTAAAGCATGGACAGTGAACAGAAACAAAAGTTAGATGCATACTGAAATTATGACTACACATTGCAGCTCAGATTTGATAGAAACAGATTTGAGGGGGAAAATGACATGCTTGATGGAAAGAAATAGAAAAAGACAAATGGAAAGAAATAGAAACAGACAAATGGAAAGAAATAGAAACAGACAAATGACCTGGAGAAGCTGTAAAGGTCTCAAAGAAGTCTGACAAAAAACATTTTGGCCACCTTAAATGTGGTCTTGACTCTCAGGACGGGGATATTTAAGGTTAATGCTAAATTTTGATGTGCAAGAGATACAAGAGAAAAATGAGCAGTGTATAATGGACAGCATTATGTCTGTCACACTTAACCAGGGCTGTGGCACTAGACCAGGGCTGTGGCACTAGACCAGGGCTGTGGCACTAGACCAGGGCTGTGGCACTAGACCAGGGCTGTGGCACTAGACCAGGGCTGTGGCACTAGACCAGGGCTGTGGCACTAGACCAGGGCTGTGGCACTAGACCAGGGCTGTGGCACTAGACCAGGGCTGTGGCACTAGACCAGGGCTGTGGCACTAGACCAGGGCTGTGGCACTAGACCAGGGCTGTGGCACTAGACCAGGGCTGTGGCACTAGACCAGGGCTGTGGCACTAGACCAGGGCTGTGGCACTAGACCAGGGCTGTGGCACTAGACCAGGGCTGTGGCACTAGACCAGGGCTGTGGCACTAGACCAGGGCTGTGGCACTAGACCAGGGCTGTGGCACTAGACCAGGGCTATTCAAGTAAGTGTTTACTCAGGGGCCAACAAGTTTAAACTGGGGATCATCATAGGCAGATTATGAGTACAATACAATTGGCAGTGATCTGCGGGCTGCAGGCCAGGTTTGCCCTATGGCTCACTAGTTGAATAGCCCTGAACTAGACTATGAGATGAAAATAGGCTGTATATATATTTTAGCAGCCAAAAGTTGTGAAGACAGCCTTGGATTTATTTAACACTTCAAATAATCATATGTGTTAACGACACACGACACATTTTTGGAATGAACAAGATTTTTTTCTTCAAACTATGTAAACTTGTGTTATGTTTAAATCTTTGAGTCCCAAGGAATGCATCATAGGTTCATAAGTTCCCGCCTTGGTCCCCAGTCGACGGAAAATGATGCTAAACTCCCTGGGACTCAAAGAGTTAACTGCTATGTTTTGATTGAAACAAAAAAAATGCTTGTTTCTCTCATGTCCATTAAATAGCTTTACAATTGTAGCTTGTATGTTTTCTCCATCTCAGCTTCAGGTGGACCCTTACCTAGGGGACGCCATCTGCAGCCTGTGCAATGCCCAGCAGGGAAACTACTTCTGTCGGGATCTGCTCTGCTTCAAGTACCTGTGCCGTTCATGCTGGTACTGGCAGCACATGCCAGACTCCATGCGTCACCACCACCCGTTGACTCGCAACACCAAGAGCTCCGCGTCACACTAGAGCAGCCAGCTCCACGGCTACCACCATACATTTGTTAGTTTTCATTTCTCTTGTTTTGAAATAATGGAATCTGTATTTTTCTTGGTAAATTTCTTTCTTTGCATTTTCTTTCTATATTGTTTACATTGACCTATTGGGAACTGATGACATGATAGTGTTGTACAAGGATTTTTTTGGTTGTTAAATGAAAAAAGTTACCAAAGGTGTTTGATTTATTCACTTAAATGTTGAAAATATTGTTCTCAGGATTTTCCATGCATTTTTTTCTCTTGCATATAAAATCTTTAGGAATACTACTTTACATTACTAATGTATTTTGGGTAGGTTTCTCTTGTGTTGAAATATTTGGTTCCATTCCTTAAACTTCATTTTTTTTTCTGTACACAAGTTTAGATTGTACCACACTGCACTGACTTTGACTGCTAGTGTTAGCGCACAAGCAGTTCTCATCTATTGAACTTAAATGCAAGCACAAGTTTTGTTTCGTATTTATCCTAGATTTCACAGAATTAGGAAATATGCTAATTTAATTTACTGGGTAATGTTTTCAGACATTTAATTTATACTAGTCTTTATACATTGCCTCATAAGGAAATGTTTTATAGCATATAGACCAAGAGCAAACAGTTGCAAACTCCACCAAGTGGAAGCAACGTAATTAGGGCATCGCTGACAGAAACATATAGGTTCAGTCAACATTTTCTAGTAAGCACATTTTTAATATCACTGCACATTAGGCATTACAATTCTGTTGATAGTAATATGTCTGAGATTGTAGTTAAGTGTGTACAACACTTAATGAATTAATGATATTAATAATCACAATATCCTAATCTGTTTTTAAAGCAACATTGCCTCAGATTCATATTTTTTTTTTTAAATAGTACCTGTCAGTGAAGATTATCTTGTGGATTATAGCCAAAGGAAAATACAAGCCAGGTAAAAATTGGCATCTTTTATATGATTTGGTTTGGTATTCAGTGTTTTAAACTAGTCAACGCTAAAAGTGAGCCAGACTCTGTTTTAAAGTTTATTACATGAATGTTCATGATTCTTACCAAGAAATTCAGAGGGAACACAAACTTCACTGGCGTATCAGTTTATAAAATTGTTAATAGATCCAGTGTTGTCTTTAATCATTTCTTTTTTTTTTTTTTTTTTTTTTTTTTTTTAATTTGAATTCTTTTCTTTAGGGTACTTCTATTAATGAATTTTTATTCATTGGTTTCATCTTACTTTTTACATATATGCATTCATTCTCTTTAAAGATCTAAATGTTTGCAGTGGGAAGTTTTCGTTTGTAGCAACAATTTTAATTTGTAGGTTTATAAGAACTACACAGATATTAACAACTGAATTTACCATGGCATATCAAGTTGGTGAAAGTAACACTGAAGCCATCTCAAAATTGTATTTTGGTGTCTATTCAGAGATTTCTGTTATTTGATTGAAAACCCTTCAGTATTAAACAGATTGTGACAACAGCCAGGACAACACATACATGAGGGTGGTACCAACAGGAAATACTCCGACCTGTAGTCCCTAATGCTGGTCTAGAGAAGCCATCAGTAAAGTACAATGCCTGGATGACAGTTGTTTCCAGTTGGCTCATACATAGCTGGTCATGCCAAGTTTGTACCCATGTTTGCATTTCCTTCACCTGTTGATTTATTACCCTAATTCTTAAGTCTTTGCTTGCTACTACACCAGGTCTATACACCTCAGGATATTTGCAAGTGTCTCTCCTAGCTGATTCCAATTTCTGGATTTCTTATATGTTTGAAGAATCTTAAAGATTGTTTATCTAAATCTTCCGATACAGAGTTTTGTTCTCACTTACCAGTTAAAAAAATTGACGCCTATAAAATTCTAAGAGCAAGAAAATGGTGTTGGAGTGAGTGGGTTGGGGATGGAGGTGTCTGTATCTATGAATTTGTACATTGTTATACTGTTTCTTTTATGATCAGCTTGCTTTCATTTTTATTCCTGGTACCACTTTTAGTTGTTCAATTACAGTTGGTTCTTGTCCTGAAGTAATTGCAAGTGAAATCAGACACCACACTTGTAACATCTGTAGTGTTAGATACAAGTTGATACATTACTGAATGCTCTTTTACTTTGAGCCCATTGACCTGATATATATTTGTTTATCTGAGTATATCTGTATGCAGCTTTATACTGTTATAGGCAGAGTTAAAGCATTAACCAGTTTTTCTTGTAATGGTAGTTTCGCTACTGACAATCGCAAAGGAGGAATAAATTCATACTTTCAGTTGTTTCTTTCAATGGCACATTAAGCAGCCATGAAAAATGTTCAGAGATAATGTTTGCTGAAAAAAATATTTAGTGCATATAGAACTGCTTAGCCGAGACAGGCATGGCGAAATTCATGTCACCTGCAATTCTTGAGACCCAAAGTGTGTTCAGATTGCCACACCTCTTCAACAGATAAACTAGTACATTATAAATTAATTACTGAAGACTGATGGCAAAGATTTTCGTCAGTATATCTTTGAGCAAATGCACGTTACATGTTAAATGCCTAGATCGTGGCTGATCTACAGATTAGTAATAGATTTTAGTTTGAAGTGTTACCAATTTTTACTGAGATTTTCAAAGAACAACTCATTAATTAGGTCAGTCAGACAGGTAAGTTTCCAGTTACATGCAGTAATTTTTAAGTTGCTGACAGTTTTTAAACATCTGTCTATTACATTCACAGGTTTTACAGAAACATCCTATTGCATGAAATCTCAATTACATGAAGGCTGCATGACATTTTTTTTGGGGGGTGTGGAATTATTTGTATATTTTATTTTATTATTGTGCTGTTTTGAGTGTAGCAAATGTTTTACTATCTCCCCACTAACAAGTAGCAGTTTGCTTGGCAGTTTTGTTTTTTCCCACCCCTTTAGTTTATATATTTATTAGGAATGAAACTGTTTGTTCCGTTTCCATATATCTGATGAAAAAAAAAAAACACAAGACCAGAGATTTGTATTGTACAGTGGTTAACTCATTCGCCTTGTTGTCAGCTTGAAGGTTCAGTTTCAGACTTCTTTTCACTTGAATACACAGAAGATATGGCTGGGATCTCTATGAGACCATTGCTGGAGCATAGGAGGTTTATACTTTGTGTGATGCTGTCAGTAGGTTGTAGGTTCAGTTTAACTACTTGTGAGTACACAGATATGCTGTGAGCCTGAGGATTTTGGCCCACATGTCCAGTGCTGTTGCCACGGATTGTGCAGATTAGGATGTTTAATTTTGTCTCCAACAGAAAGTGCACCACCTCAGCGGGCGTCGAACTCAGGCCTCCCACATGAGAGTCCAATGTTATAACCACTCGGCTAGCCGCTCCTCAGACTGTTTTTGATCATACTTTTCTAAGGCCAAATCATGCAGCTATATGTTTGTTTCAGACATGTATAGTATTTTATGAGATTTAAGTTGCTTAATTTTTCAGGTGTTATAGTTTGAGACACTGACATTGATTTATGAGTTTTTGATTGGAATAGGGCAATTGGACTGAGTATAGAAGAGTTTTCCTATCTCATTGACATTGTTTTTTAGTTTGTAGCTTACAAAATGTCTACATTGTTTGCATAAAGTTGTCATTTTCATAAGTAAAATCGTGTAAACTTAATGTTAATTAAAAAAAAAAAATGTAAGCATTTAACAAGATTTTCTTTCATGGGCATTTTGCCGGTGTGACGTTTCCACTCTTTAATTTTGTTTCATTGTTAATCTCATTGTTTTTTTTCTTTCCTTTTTCCATGTTCATTAATGCATCTTTGTGAGTGAGATACTCTTTTACAAATGTTAAAACAATTGCATTGATATTGAAATTAGGATATTTGTCCACTAATAACAGTGACTGAATACACAAGAGAACATGTACCCCAATTGTTTGCTAAGGGGAAGCAAAGGGTTTCCATTGTCTTTCCCCCCCTGTAATATCTCTTTGATATATGTCTTGTAAGGTTCCACTGTAATGTCTGCCTCTGGTACATGTCTTGTAAGGTTCCACTGTAATGTCTGCCTCCTGTACATATCTTGTAAGGTTCCACTATAATGTCTGCCTCTGGTACATATCTTGTAAGGTTCCAATGTAATGTCTGCCTCTGGTACATGTCTTGTAAGGTTCCACTGTAATGTCTGCCTCTCGTACATGTCTTGTAAGGTTCCACTGTAATGTCTGCCTCTGGTGCATATCTTGTAAGGTTCCAATGTAATGTCTGCCTCTGGTATATGTCTTGTAAGGTTCCAATGTAATGTCTGCCTCTGGTACATGTCTTGTAAGGTTCCACTGTAATTTCTGCCTCTGGTACATGTCTTGTAAGGTTCCACTGTAATGTCTGCCTCTGGTACATGTCTTGTAAGGTTCCACTGTAATGTCTGCCTCTGGTACATGTCTTGTAAGGTTCCACTGTAATGTCTGCCTCTGGTACATGTCTTGTAAGGTTCCACTGTAATGTCTGCCTCTGGTACATGTCTTGTAAGGTTCCACTGTAATGTTTGCCTCTGGTACATGTCTTGTAAGGTTCCACTGTAATGTCTGCCTCTCGTACATGTAAGTTTTCACTGTAATGTCTGTCTCTGGTACGTTTCTTGTAAGGGTACATTGTAATGTCTGTCTCTTCTACATGTCTTATAAGGCTACATGTCTTGTAGTTACAGTAAGGGTATATATCTGTGCTCATTGCCAGCTTTCTGTCATTGATAACTATTTTAATTTGGATGATTTTTTTTTCAATTTCTTTTCCTATTATGAATTATTTTGAAGCATTTTACAATTTATAATTGTTCGTGTTTCGGAGTCTACATAAGTAAATAATGTATGCAACATTTTGTGGTGATATTTCAATGTTATTATTTGCATAAAACAGATGCAGTGCATTATTACTGTTTGTCTGCCTTCTCAATAGCTCTGTGATACTGTAGAGTACATCTGACTTCTTTTGCTGTTGAAGACACATTAGTGACAGTCATAACAGCTT